GGAGAGATATAGAGCCCGCAATAAAGGATTGTAGTCGTTATATTAAGGTGATGAACGCTGCGCTAAAGGTAGCTAACACAAGTGGCAAGAAGCACCACGTAACCACTTGTGCTAGGCACATGCATGCATTCCGAAGCATTCTAAAATCGCTCCGGGACGTAACTGAGGCCGGGTACAGACCAACTAACCCGAATTGCGAAAACTGTAGAAGCTCGCGGGTACAATGGCAGGACATTCACACGGCGTTCTCCAACAGAATGAGAACGGGAATCATCATTAACCTGACGCACAAGGACCCGCGACAATTTATGGAAGATGCTAAAAAAATGATAATCAGGAGAATGACTAATGCTGTTAAAAAATCGACATTAAAAGTTAATGCTGTGTTTTGTGGCGAATTCGTAACTAAGAAAACGGGAAAGGAAGTATTTGAATTTAAATATATAAATACTAAAAATGTCCCAATTTATAACAACACCGATTTAGAGGAATGGTTTAAGAACAACATTCAAAACCCCGTTCTAAAAGACCTTGAAGAATTTCAAGAAACGCATGACGTGACGTCATCAGCTCGATAACTAAATAAGGCCCTTTTGGCAGTTTTCACCCGTGCCATGTTGTTCGTGCTTGTTATAGACGGCAGGGTGTTGTAGGGGGGGAATTTTTCGGTTTATTTTTCGACTTGAAGCATCGTTAACGAGATATTCACCATTTTATAACCTCCAAGCCAAACGCTTTGTGTTCAGATGTCCGGTGGAATGACGTCATCAGCTCGGTAACTAAATAAGGCCGTTTTGGCAGTTTTCACCCGTGCCATGTTGTTCATGCTTGTCATAGACGGTAGGGCGTTGTAAGGGGGAATTTTTCGGTTTATTTTTCGATTTGAAGCATCTTTAACGAGATATTCACCATTTTATAACCTCCAAGCCAAACGTTTCGTGTCCGAATGTATCAAGGCCTCGATGAAGTTCCAACACCACTCACTCCGCACCTCACCCACTGCTCCCTACCCGCCCACGCCTCGAACCTAACCTGTACATGATTGTCTAGATGACGTCAACACCACCACCACCACCAAGCACCACACGATCCGGCGACATGACGTCATCATCTCGATAACTAAATAAAGCCCTTTTGGTAGTTTTTACCCGTGCTATGTTGTTCGTGCTTGTTATAGTCGACAGGGGGTTGTAGGGGGGAATTTTTCGGTTTATTTTTCGATTTGAATTATTGTTAACGAAATATTCACCATTTTATAACCTCCAAGCCAAACGCTTTGTGTTCAGATGTCCGGTGGAATGACGTCATCAGCTCGGTAACTAAATAAGGCCGTTTTGGCAGTTTTCACCTGTGCTATGTTGTTCATGCTTGTCATAGACGGTAGGGCGTTGTAGGGGGGAATTTTTCGGTTTATTTTTCGATTTGAATCATCGTTAACGAGATATTCACCATTTTATAACCTCCAAGCCAAACGCTTCGTGTCCGAATGTATCAAGGCCTCGATGAAGTTCCAACACCCCTCACTCCGTACCTCACCCACTGCCCCCTACCCGCCCACGCCTCGAACCTAACCTATTGCCTGGATGACGTCACCACCACCATCAAGCACCACACGATCGGGCGGCATGACGTCATCAGCTCGATAACTAAATAAGGCCCTTTTGGCAGTTTTCACCCGTGCCATGTTGTTCGTGCTTGTTATAGGCGACATGGGGTTGTAGGGGGGAATTTTTCGGTTTATTTTTCGATTTGAAGCATCGTTAACGAGATATTCACCTTTTTATAACCTCCAAGCCAAACGCTTCGTGTCCGAATGTATCAATGCCTCGATGTATCGATGATGACGTCATTGTGATAAGGCGGTAGCCTCATTCAAATTCCCAGCCTAAAAGAGGGTTCTCGGAGAATGTTATGCTCTGATTGAGAAACCTGCCTGCGCGCACCCCGCACCCTAGCACCCAGCCGGGAAGCCAAACCAAACGCTTTGTGTCCGGCTTCGCAATACATATCTACGCAAAAAACTGAAAAATCGGGAATATCTCCAAAACCGTTGAAGATAGACACCATGATACCTCTATAAAACTGAAAGGAAATTAAATTTTACATCCAGTTATGCAAAAACTGGTATATTGTTCCATTTAAAAAAATTAAGTTATCCATGATTAAAAAGTTCGAAAATTACAGATCCCTACTTAAGAACTCTGTAATATAAATGCATACTTTTCTATTAGCAAATATGTGCTCTTTTATTGTTAATCCAAAACAGAAAACCAAATCTTTCTAGCTTTCACAGTTTCGCCAATATTGTCATTTTTTTCGAAAATCGTCATATAATTCAAAAACGATACCAGTTAATGCTTAGTTTATGCTTAACAAAGTACCATTGAAATTTCACAAAGAATCCAAAAGTGCAATAATATACAGGATGTTCCATTTAAAATAACAAAGTTGATATCCATTTCCGGTAGAAGCGGATGTCCGCCATTACTGAAACTAATTTTAAAATATGTACAATACGATTCGATTCAACTTTTATTTGAAACATTTTTTTAAAAACTCAATCATAATTCGGCTATGGACCGAGGCAACTTAGGTGGGACACTCTGTATGTATTTTTTTTTATGTTGTAATAAAGTTGGTGTAAATAAATTTTGTTTTCTCTTCTTCTCGATTTTATACGAATTATTAAAATTTTATCGGCGGAAATTGCAAAACTCGGAATAATTGTCGATTATTTCAAAAATTTATTTCTTAAGAACTAAAAGCGATTTTTCAAAACGACTTTTTGCATTAACCTTCGAGCGGACGCGCCCGATTTTATAACACGAGCGTGCGCGTGTCATAAATTTTATGACATCAGGTCCGTATTAATAAGTATTACGTTATTTTTAATAAAATAGTGAAAATACACATTTTGCTAGAGTAAAAATATTTAATTTATGTTAAACAATTGTTAAAAACATAAAACTAAATCGATTAATTTTTTAAAACTAACAACATTTACAGTCTACATACCGGGAATTTCATACAAGTCGCAATATATGAATGCAGTAACCATAGTTACAAAACTACTGTGCACTTGCTCTGTCCCGGATAAAATGCAACATAGCTTATTACTACGGGCATTGGGTAGTTTTGCAGAGGAAAAGCTTGGAAAAAAGTGACGTCCTTATGATAATCTTGAGTTTCGTCTAGATAGTGGTAGTGTAAAACCAGAACTAACACTAGACCTAGAACTAGAAACATTCGGATTTAGCCACACGTTTCTCAAGACGGCTAAACCCGAATGATTCTAGTTCTAGGTCTTGTGATAGTTCTAGTGATAGTGCTACTGTAAAACTAGAACTAACACTAAACCTAGTACTAGAAACATTCGGATTTAGCCGCACGTCTCTCAAGACGGCTAAACCCGAATGATTCTAGTTCTAGGTCTTGTGTTAGTTCTAGTGACAGTGCTAGTGTAAACCTAGAACTGACACTAGACCTAGAACTAGAAACATTCGGATTTAGCCGCACGTCTCTGAAGACGGCTAGTTCTAGTGATAGTGCTAGTGTAAAACTAGAACTAACACTAGACCTAAAACTAGAAACATTCGGGCTGGGTTGGGTTTAGCCGTGCGTCTGAAGACGCACGGCTAAAATTCAATAAAAATATGCAACATGGTGATTTCTTATGCTAACTAGCGCTACATACATGAAGATTCCGACAAAATTGTCATTACGGACCAGTATTTTTCAAAAATGTGCAATCGATCCGAAACCTTGATGTATGACTCAAAACTTGTTTATAATACATTTATATCTCTTAATGCATCCCATAATATAAATAAGGCCGTATAAATCAGCAATTAATGTGTAAATTTTTTGTCTTTTATTACTTTTTTTGTCATAAAGACAACGTCAATATATTTTCTTTTACATTTTTTTTTATCATGTTCTAAATACATAGTTACATGAATACTTTAGCGTGAAATCCTTTCAAATGCATATATTAGGAGATATATTATAAAAACGAAAATTGTCATAAATTTTATGACAGCGCGCCCGCTCGAAGGTTAAAGGGATCGCTCGAAGGATCCTTCAAGAAATTAATTTTATAGCGAATTTTGAAAATTATCGTTGAAAATTGCAATATCGAAAATTTTATTAAAACTTCAAATATTGTTTTCTCAAAAACTAAAAGTTATTTTTCAAAATGTGTTGGTTCATTGGAAAGAGGACACTTTTAACAATATTATGGGAAATTTTCATACTCATATTCCAAGAAATCGATTTTATACGAATTATTAAAGTTTAATCGGCGAAAATTGCAAAATTCGCAAAAATTGTCGATTATTTCAAAAATTTATTTCTCAAGAACTAGAAGTGATTTTTCAAAACGGCTTTTTCTATTAAAAAGGGAATACTTTAATTAATAATAATTGGTGATATTTCCACAAAGATCCTTCAAGGATTTAATTTAATAGCGAATTTTGAAAATTATCGATGAATATTGCAACGTGGAAAATTTTATAAAAACTTACAAATATTGTTTTCTCAAAAACTAAAAGTTATTTTTCAAAACAGGTTGATTCATTGGAAAGAGGACACTTTTATTAACACTTTGGGAAATTTTTATACTCATATTCCAAGAAATGGATTCTATACGAATTTTTAAAACTTAATTGGCGAAAATACTTTAATTAATAATTAGTAATATTTCCACAAGAATCGTTCAAGAAGTGAGGTGAAAACCTATGAAGGTCTAAATCTATTTCTTCGTAACACACGATAACTCAATAACGCAGTTGTTGTGCTGATGGAATTTGATTAAGTTGAGTGATGTTTCTGTTTTAGTTATTTTAGGATTGAGAATGGAGTTTTTCCGAATAACATGATTTAAGTTGATGAAATGATTAATGAGATGATTTTTCTTGATATACATTTATTATTATTTACATTTTTTCATCATAAAAAAAATTATTATTCGTTTTAATCACTTTTTTCTTTTTTATATCCACCGTTAAAAACCAATTTATTCACCAACATTTTTACCACAACAACAATAACCACAATTAATCCCAAGATATCATAATTATTCGTTTGATACCAACTCATTTTTCTTCCCGCAACCGAAAGATTGCGTAAATCACCATTTTTTAATAAATAATCAAACCACATTAAAAACTTATCAAGCGGTTTTAAAGGCTGATTTTTGTACAAAGACGATAACTTCATCATATTTTCTTTATATCTATTAAAAAAATAATAATAAAATTTAATCAAATTCAATAAAAGATTAAATTAAAACCTTGAATTCATCAAAACTTCATTGATTGATTCATAAAGTTTATTCGCTGTAATTTCTTTATAGTTTAAAATAATTCCTGCTTCAATTTCTTCAAATTTCGCGCTTCTATAATATTGATCATGAAATAGGGGTATTCCGATTATTGGAATTCCCCTAAATATAGTTTCTTGGGAACTTAAAGCACCGCAATGAGTTATAAAAAGTTTTGTATTCGGGTGGGCTAAAATATCGCTTTGAGGGAACCAATTTTTAACGATAACATTTTTTGAAGTTACGATATCATCAAATTTCCATAAAACAGTTAGATTTAATTTCGAAAATGCTTCGATGAAAGCACTTTTTACGTGGTCTTTATAAAATTTCGGTTGAAAATTTGAACCTAATGAAACAAAAACGATTCCTTCAACAGAATTATTTAAAATCTTTTCTAAATTTTCATCGATTTTTGTTGCTGATTGATTTATTTCTTTTAAATGTACTCCACCGATTTGAATGACATTTGGGACGTTTGGTTTTGGGTAATCTAATATTGGGTCATCATTAGGGAAAATTAATGAAATTTCGTTTCCTAATTCGTTAATTTTTCGAACGTTTTCGCCGAAAACTTTTTTATTTATTTCATCTAATTTTGGGAGGTAATAAAATCTGGATAAGCGCTCGATTGTTGTGTAAAAAATGCTACAAAATCTTTGAAATAAATTCATTTTGTCGGTGTAAGGTAAACCGTAATAAGGAGTATAAATTTGGATTGATTCGCCAATTATATCATTTAAATATGTTTGTAAACCAAACGCTGTTACTCCGATTGCGGGTTGATTATTAAAATGATCGATTAAGGGTAAATAACACTCTGAAAATGTTATATCGAAAATTAATAAATTAAAAAAGCTTTTTGGGTAATTTAAAAGTGTTTTAAATTCTTCTGTGTTCATGTTGTATTCGCACGATTTTTGAATAAACTCCCACATCGCTAAAATTGATTTAACACTAGTTTCATCAATTACATTTTTTAATGTTGATGATATATTTTCAGTAAATTTTTCATCTAAAATAATTAATTACACACATAAATTGCATAATATAAATTTAATAATAATATATACACACCATTTATTTGTAAAATAGAATAATTGTTGCTTATTATATTCGCAGGATAAAAACCAATCATTGTAACATTATGATTCTTACTCAACACACCCTCGATTAACGCTTCGTTCCAAATATGATGACTCGGAGATGGCACCAAATTCACAAATAAAATATTTTCCGCTAAAACGAAATGTACATTGATTATTAAGAATATCTTAAACAACATTTCGTTTTTTGTTTCGACGGCGATGAACACGCGATGACTGAAATAAAAAGAGATTGTCGAGGACAAATTTAGAAAGTTTAAAACTATTTTTATCCTAGTTTTTTAAATCCCAAATTATTTATAATTTGATTTTACAATTCCCATTATCTTTATAGTAAAGAATTGTTCTGATTTGACCTTGTGGATTAGAGTAATCATCGTAGATAACACTAAATTCAACAATATTAGTGCAGTTGTAAAATAACCTTGGTTTGAGTCGAACTTACAATTAGTTGAAATTTGTTTTAGTTTGAAAATGTTAAAAATATTCTTCTTAATTTTATTTGTGAAAAGTGTTTTATCTACAAACATTTTGTTCGTAACTTTGTTGTCATCGCCCAGTCATCATATTTGGAATGAGGCTTTAGTAGATGGTTTATTAAAGTATGATTATAATATAACGATGGTTTCTCATTTTTCAGCGACCATAAAACACAAGAATTATACGTTACATCATGTTGATGGTAATATTACTTTTTTAATTAAAAACTATTTATTGGAATTCTTAAATAAATAAACTTAAATAAATACAAGTACGAAGGCTACCACGCAGCCCCGGATTTAGGCCATAAAGCCCATTTATGGGCTGCAGCCTAGGGCCCTGGCCCATCAAATTTACTGATTTAGTATTTTCAGAAAATGCATTTTTTCTCGGTGTTTTTCTTATATTACCTGATATGATATGTTCATCAGATAGAAAGAAATATTCTCTATCAAAATATGCAAAAAAAACATATGCATTCCATTTACAGTAGTCCCTCGATTTACGCGTGGGTTACGTTCCGTGAACATCCCGCGTAAATCGAAATCGCGTAAATTGAAGCATTGAATTATATGTAATTAGGGGGGTTTGGTTCTAACGACTAAGAAATTATCGACTTTTAAAGTATGTACATACTTTTATTATAAATAAACATTATATTATATTAAAAAAAATAAACAATACAAAACAAATAATATTTATACATATTACAGTTAAAAAAAGGAACTGATATTTTTGTCTGATAGAGAACTAATAAAAAAAATCTTATTATTTCTTTGATAAAAAGTGTGTGATTTTGGATTGCTTTGTTTCATTTTGAAGCCTCTGCTATAAACTTTTATAAGGTGCCAAGGCATTAAGTATCTCACGTTGTGCCTTTAAGCTACGCGGAGTAAGATCGTTTTCTATCAAAAAATCTGTTAATTCTTCTCCCATCTTTAAACATTGATTAACAGTTTTGAGACTTAACTCAGCTGGGAGTGTGGTTTCCTTATTATCGTCACTATCACTGTATTCTTGATTATTGTTAGCTACTAAATCTCCTGACTCTTCTTCTGTTAGTTCAGAATTGTGAGATTCGAGTAGCTCTTCAATATCTGACAACTGGAGGTCATTAAATCCAACTCCCAGTAACAACCGACCTAATGTTACTGTAGCCTGGATGTCATTAGTATGTAAGTTGACATCGTTGTCATTGCCCTTTTCCGATGTGACAACAGTTGGCCAGATTTTTCTCCAGCAACCATTCAATGTAGATTTTTTCAATTCACGACGGGACTCTTCGATGTTGTCTATGCAATTACCAATGTTGTAATTTTTCCAACATTGTGTTAAAGTTAGCTTCGAGTCACTTTCCAAACTATCTAATTACTTCTTAAAAGTTATTCTGGTATAATATGCTTTAAATGCAGCTATAATACCTTGATCTAAAAGCTGAATAAGGGAGGTTGTATTAGGAGGCAAAAACTCAATCTTGACATTTTCATTTAAGCTTTGTAGTCGGTTAGCAGGGTGACCGGGAGCATTATCTATCAACAACAAAACTTTAAATGAAATATCGTTCCTTTTTAAATAATTCTCTACTTCTGGTATAAAACAATTTTGTAACCAATCTACAAAAATGTCTCCAGTGACCCAAGCACGACTATTCGACCTCCAAAATACAGGTAATTTTCGTTTATCTTTATTTTTTAATGCTCTAGGATTTAATGATTTATAAACCAATAACGGTTTGGTAATAAAATCTCCAGATGCATTTGAACAAAGCAGCAGAGTAAGACGATCTTTAGCCATCTTAAAGCCAGGGGCGGTTTTTTCATTTTTTGATATGAATGTTCTTGCAGGCATTTTTTTTCCAAAAGAGACCAGTCTCATCAGCATTGAATACTTGTTGTGGGAGATAACAACGGTCTTCAATTATCCTCATTAGACGGTCTGGATATACAGTTTTCAGATATAGTTTTGCTGCTTCGTGATCGGCTGAAGCAGACTCTCCCATCAATTTCAAACTATGAAGGCTGTGCCGATTTTTAATTTTTTTCGAACCATCCCTTACTTGCAACAAATGGTTTCAGTTCACTATTTGACGAAGAGGATTCATTTTTCAGAAAATTATCGTATAGTTTTGTAGCTTTGTCTCTAATTATAACAGAGCTTAGAGCTACTCTTTTTTGAGTTTCATCCTCAATCCACAAAGCTAACGCATTTTCCACCTTTTCTATAGGTCCTTTTCTGGAGTACGTTCTCGATACTTTTTCGAATTTTTTCTTTATTTTGGCGAATAGTTCGTATAGAATATTCGTCAACGCTATTTTTTCTGGCCACTTCTGCTACAGTCATTTTTTTGTTTAAATCATCTAATATTGCACATTTTTGTAACAGTGATAACACTTTTCTAGATCGTTTAAAATCTGCCATATTAGTTGCCTAAAATTATAAAATTATTTACAAAAATTAAATGCAAAATGAACAACACTCAAAACTAAGGAAAAAAGGAATTTATAGGAACATAATCCAAATATATAATCTAAATACATTTCTACTTAAAAAAGTATATAGGTATTTATATAAATCATGTCTTACCATTTATTATAAAAAAATTGTCGAAACAAGAAACGAGACCTCTTTGTTTCAAAACACAAGATTAATTGGAGCATATACGCTGTAACACTGCAAGAATTGCACGATAGTTTCAAACGACGCCGAGTCGCGCGCCCTTACGTCGAGCGCCTATGCGTCGCGACGCAACGTGTAAAATTTCTGGTGAAGCAACCGCGTAAAAGTGAATCGACCACCGCATAAATTAAGCTTTGGTGTCCAATTCTTAACCGCGTTAAAGCGAATCCGCGTATAAAAATACCGCGTAAAATGCGGGACTACTGTATATCAAAGTATGCCCTACAATTAGCCAGAAAACTTTTATTTCGAACATTTTTCTTTTAAACCAGAAATGGCGAACTTATTAGTTATATTCCATATTTTTGTCACACCCTATATATTTTTTAAGTATGTATAGTAGAACATTTGATAATATGATAGATTTAAATAGAAATACTACTCTATGTATTACTATTACTCTACTCTATAAATATACTCTACGCCATTCTAGCGCGATATTGTTTTGAGGGAAAAGTGTGCGACAGGTGAGTTTTTTTATTAAAATTAGCAGCCACACTGGATTATATTTGTTTAATTCTCTACAAGGATTTCTACAAGAACATGGATTGCCTCTTCTTGATTGCAGTGGGCAGTCATTTGACAACGCTGCAAATACGTCCGGTCAATATAATGGGTTACAAGCACATGTCAAAGAAAACAATAAATATGGTGATTATGTGCCATGTGCTGCTCACTCCCTAAATCTGGTTGGTAAGGAAGCAGTTAGGACTTCAACTCAGATCATTAATTTTTTTGGAATAGTTCAATAAATATGTATATGTCTTCTTTTCTGCTTCTTCCCACAGATGGGAGCTCTTAAATAGTGAAAAACATTAATTTTCAATAAAAAGTTTGAACCAAATTAGGTGTTGTTGCCATTATGATGGTGTCAGAGCGTTAAAAGATATTAGTTATGGCAATACAGGGTCATCCACGACGACCGTCCATTAGAACTATACAGAGTTCTGGCCAAAATAAAAATTTGAAAATTCAAATTTAAGCATTATCAATTGCGTTCTCTTCGACTAAAATATTTTCAGACTTCTAGCACTTCCGGTTGTACCGGAAGTCGCCACCTACTTTATTTTTTTAAATGGAACACCTATATATTTTTATATATTTGGATTTGTCTGTTTTCAAGGTTTATGAATAATAAGTTTACTTTTTGCAATTTGATTTGGTCGTTGTCGAGTTATTCGAATTTTTCTAGAAAAATCTGCTGCAGCAGACATTTGTTCAAAAAGTCAGAGAACACTCGATTTTTGGGATATCAATTTAGAATTCAAAGCATGCTTAAGCAACATGATGGAGTATGTTTTAGTGCCCAGTACGGCTGTCTAGAACGTTTCGTCACTTTACTATGGCACGTTAATTTTTCGAAACTTGGAAGTACCATAACTTCATTTTTTTAAATGGCACCCCCCATGTTTTATTACTTAGTCGTTTTCGGTGTCTCATTTTACATCTTTTAAATCCCATATGTCCTATACCTAACATTTATAGTTTGGGAGATAATTAGGGTTCTTTGAAAAATGCACACATATCATAACGATATTTAACCTAGTGTGCCATGAATACCTAGTGTGACTTAGTGAATAACCAAATAAAATGGGGTTTGAAAATTTGCAGACTTGTGATGGAAGCTATGGTTTATTTCTGTTGGTGTGATGACTAGGTTACTTTTTGTAGTGATCTGTTCTCAAGAAATGCCACGTTTGGAATTTAGTAATGAGGATTATTTGAATCTGATAATAATTTATGGAAAGTGCAACCAAATAATTGCCAAACACTTTCTATCGTCCTCTAAAAAATCGTTTAATTAAGTTGGATTCGAAGGATATATTCAGCTTAATGGTGCCAAACCTTATCAAAAACCACAGCTACATCAAGTAAAATTTTCTGGAATCTTCTCGATGTGATCTTAATCCTATGAACTTGATCAATTTTGGAATCCAGACTGCAAAATTTAAATTGGTGGTTCAAAATCAGTTGTCTAACTATGAGTAGTTTTAATGTCTTTAACTACTTTCCACCAATCTGG